CTGCTACCACCATGAAAACAGTTTTGCTTTCTTTCCATTACAGTGTGATCCTATCCCCATTTCCCTAGAAATAAGCCCAGCTGAATTCAGCGGGATGTACTTCTGCAAAGGCATTTTAGGCTTGTACTGCTAGTGCTGCAATGCTAAATCAGCAACGGGAAAGCTGCTGTGAAGGAAAACCACAGCACTGCACCCACTTCATGGTCTGTGCAACAGGAACCAGACTGCAACAATTTCCTAGTTGAGTTCTGAATTATGGAATTCCAAAAATAAATTTGTGAAAGAACCTTTGTTTTTATGCAATGTTAGGACTACTTTGAGTAGACCCATTGACCTTACTGGGAATTAAATTAACTATAATAAACTCAAGTCCTATTCATTTTAGTAGGTCTACTCTAAGTAGGACTAACATGGGATGCAGCCTCTCATACCAGGCTTGAGCAACATGTTGTTCTTCAGAGATTTTGGTCTGAAGATGTTGGTCTATAATTCGCATTGGCTTTAGCTAGATCCAGGTCACATGGTAATGGCTGACGGGAACTGTAGGCTAAAACAACTACAGTTCACCTACTTCTGTGTTAAGTCGACAGTTCTTCTGGCTTATCTTTTCTCATCCTGGTTTTAGCCTTCAGGTTCCAACAATCCAGACTATGTTTTACTCCCTCAAACAAATGAGTTGAAGCCCAAGATATGTCCAAAAATGTTTGGAGAGGAAGGTTGTTCTGTCTCAATTTATATTACCCATTCTAGTGGGCACTGGATTTTCAAGATCTCAGACATTCATATATTCAGCCAAAATCTGACTTCCTGTAACTTGAATCCATTATTCCATGTCCGGCACTCTGGACTGTTGAGAAGGAACCCTGACTATTGTCTGTGTGACCACCTTTCAAATATTTAAAGAGTGCTATCATCTCCCTCCCCAGCCTTCTGTTCTCAACATGCCCAGTTCATTCAATTCCTCCTCATAGAGCTTTATTTCCAGATCCCTGATTGTCCTTGTTACTGTCCTTTAAACCCCCTCCAGGTTTTCTACATCCTTCATGAACTTCAAAAGGTTGAATTTGCCTTTTAAAAAATGATGTCTTGATGGAAAGATAGAATACAATAAAATTAAAATTAGAAAGGTGCGAAAGAGGGAGAGAATGACAGAATGGACAGAATTGTCAATCTAAGACTGACAGAATTGTCCATCCCTATTTTTCCTTACTTCTCATGAACTCTAAAGTTCACTTCAATTCTCCTTAGTTCTCCATCTCCCACCCAAAGTTCTCTACCTTTATATGTTTTCTAGTTTAAAATGAAAAAAGGAGCAAAACTCAATAAAAGTATTGTAGAAGCTGTACACATGGGACCTATAACCAAATGTTCCAGTGTGTCCTCACATTTTAGCATAAGCTTTTCCGTTCAGGATCCAAGTCTGCCAACCAGCCAGCCAGCTCCTTCCTCGGGATAAATCTCTTCCCTTTCCCCCTTTCTTAGCTTCCCCTATTTCCATCTGACCGTACTCAGACCCCCATTGGATTCTGTTTGTTTTTGTCTCCTCAGCGTTTTAAAAGTAGGCTTTCTCTGAGCCTAATCGTGTTCCTCAGTCACCCTATTTTGCCTTCATTTCTATAGACATCTGGCCCTTGAATTTGCTATGAGGGAATAATGAATAATGAACCCAAAGTCCAGGCAACTCTCTTCTGCTGTAGAAGAAGATGTTACTTCCATATGTCGCCCAGTTGATAAGAATTCTGAACTGACCTCAAAAGTTACATGCTTAGTTGAACTGACAATGTGCTCAATTGTCCTGCATTTATTGGGATGTTCTCCATCCAAGAAAGGAATTCCTTACGTGGATTTTGAAGTTAATGTTCTCACACAAATCCCAATTGGTATTTGGCTTGAAGATAGTCTTGCTCTAATGGGATGGCATTATTATGGCCATGTTTATGTATTTGATGTTCGCTATACTTTCAGATTTAATATTAACACTAGAAAGAAATTAAAGCCAATTCAGCTAATTCCATTCCTACTGTTTTCTTCACTTTAGCTGAAGAACTTTGCACCCTTGTAAATTAAAATATAACTGAGGCAGATATTAGGCCAGAAAGGAGAAAAAAAATTAACCAAATTAAACTTTTCGTGTCTCATTAAAGTAAATCCTTAGGTAAAGGTTTCAAACATTTTTAGCTGATAGATTTAACTTCATTTTATAATTCAGAACAGCTTACATTAATACGTCCATTAATACATATAGATGCAAATTAAAAATAAATAGTATCATTCAAATAGAAATATAATTAGATATGTGTGAATCAGCAAACTCAAGCTTGTCAAGTTCTCAGAATTGTACTTCAGAATGTGTTCTGACTTATACAGCTATCAGATTGTAGACTCTCCCTTGCTTTTTTGCAAGAAAATTTACATGCAGTTTGCATTCATATTTTCCCATCAGTTGTATTTATTTTTGAAATGAATGCATTTTCCAAACACTTGTTATGCAAATTGCATGGGAAGCTCAAAAGTGTGCAGCATTTGCTACAGAATGTGTTCAGGCCTACAATGAACTGAACAGGATTTTTATACAGTCATATATATAATGCAGCTCATCACAGAGGGGAGATCCATGATTAGGTAGCCCATGTACTTGCTCATTCTGCTGTCCAAGTGCTAAATGAACCGCGCTGTCCTTTCTGGGGGTTTGTTATATTGAAACCAGGTTTGGCCACACATTCCTTCCAGCAGAGCAAGCCTTCAAAAGAGAGGACTGTCCCCTGATAGCCCCTTGCACGGAGAACTGGTTTCTCTAAAGTAGGGCATAAGGCCACTTATGATACACCTATTGCTCTGTGAGCTATTAAGAGCATCTCTTGAATGCACTGCTTCAGATTTCAATTGGGGTCTCGCAGCATTACAAGTAAGTACATGAATAAGTTTTTAAAAATCCACGTCCTTTGCTATTGAGTTGGGGTTAGCACCTCAGGAGATATGCATAGTGTTTAATGTGGGAACACATACGCATTGATAAGAATTATATTAAGCACTACCCACTTTGTTTCTGTCTTGGCTCTTGCCTGTGCCCTTGGCCCCACGTTCTGCTGGGATGGTTCTGCCCAGAGATCCTTTAGTTAGGGGACCTTGTAATGTGGTCTCCAAACTAAAATGGTCCAGCGTCCTTGGCCTACGGCAATGAATAATCTGGGGTTCCTGTTGCTATCTGTGACATGTTGGGGAGCAGTCTTTTTCAGATGTCTGTCTGAATATATGTCAGAATAGAAGATGGAAAAAGCAAGCTTCTGAGTACTGGTGTTATGATTGCAAGTGTTTGATAGGTCTGAAAGAGCCCACTTACGCATAAATACCTCTTTATGTCACCGTGTTACCTCATTACGAACCTCCCAATTGAATGGCCTTGGATTATGTGGATGTAAGCCACTCACACACAGTTGTGTCAGCTCTTTCTGTTGATCTTCTGTTGAAAATGTATGACGGGCTTTTGTTTATCACCAGGATGACAATGGATAGCAGCTTCCTCAAAGGCCTCCTCTTCCTCACAGCTAGAGCTAGAGCCTCGGCAGTGACAACAACAGCAAAGGAAGCAGCTAAAGAGGCTACTTTGGGTTTCCTGCAAGATGAAGAAAGGTGGAATATAAAGGTAATAATAACAATAACAGCTGATGATGATGATGATGACAAATTTGTCATTCATTGAACCAATTTCACTGCAAAGGTAAGCATTATACGCAGATCTTCTTCCATGAATGAACCAGCTAATTATGAAATTCAGCAGCACCACTTTCAACAGAAAACCTATATGTAACTTTCCCTAAAATAATCATTTTGAGCCAAGAACATCATAAGAAAATTTGGAAAATTGCACAGTCTGAAGGTTACTTGCTTTGATCTGCATGTTAGTCTGCAGAATTAGGTTGCTTCACTTAAAAATGTAGACCAAAGTACATTCTTCTCACCCCAACTAATGTTTGGTTCCATCCCAAGATGAATAAATAGGCTTTGGTTGCCCTTTTATAGATCACCAGTTGTCTCTTGGAATAAGTGAAGATATTTTCATTTTGCTATGATTATACAAGCCTGAAATGGTTTAAATGGTCACTTTCCAAGCAGCAGTGGACTCCTTGTGGACTACAACTCCCATTATCAGTACTGATGGTCCACATCAGATGTAGCTGAACACATGCCTAACAGAACTTGCTACACTCAGAATGAAGTGTTTGGATCCCCAGTTCGCATGAGCAGAACACAAATCACAGGACAGTTCTGTCAGTGAAAGGGGTAGAACCATTTTTTAAAACAACTTATTTTCATTCTAGCTCCCCTGTACCCTGCAAAAAATCAGCCCTGTAGGGTTGGGGATCTTTAAAGACCAACATGGGCAGTGGAGCTGGGGAACCTTCACCAAATTGGAGCAACCCCCCTTAAACAGAAGGAGCTATTCCTTTCACAGAGTATCAACTCAGGCTCCAAAGTGATACTTAACTAATATCAAGAACTGAGGTGTCTCACCCTGTTGTAAATCTGATAACACTTGCCAAAGACCAGTGAGTCTGTAAGCTCTCAGCTTCATAGTTTCTATTTTATTATGCAAAATGCTGACCAGTCAGCATGCAGCGAGTCAATTTGCTAAACTAATGTTTAACCTTAAATAAAAAGCTTGTCAGATAAAAAAGTGTGTGAGCTCTTGAATCTCTCTTTTTCACCATCATTATTTACTAGCAAGTTCTTGAAGATTTTTTGACAAGACACATAATAATTACATTGAAAATACTAGCTTAGCTCCTTTTAATGTGGCCTGTCCAAGAATTCCTGCAGCATGACTCTGGAATGAACTAAAATGGATGCTGAGGTGTATCGCTGAATTTTGGATTGTATTTGTGATTTCAAATATATCATTGGCTAAATCATCAAAACATAATTCTCTTGCCTTGGAACACTGGTCTCCTAAATAAACAAAGGAACAAGCTACATTGACTAGAAGCCCACTAGTTAGCACAATGACCAGCTTTATCCCTCCGGATGTTAAAACATTTGTCTCTTGGGACTATGTTGTCTTTGCAGCACTCTTCCTCATTTCTTCCAGCATTGGGATCTTCTTTGCGGTCAAAGAGAGGAAAAAAACAAGTTCCACAAACTTTTTAGTAGGGGGCAGGCAGATGACTTGTGGACCGGTAGCTCTGTCCCTCACAGCAAGTTTCATGTCAGCAGTCACAGTACTGGGAACTCCGGCTGAGGTGTATCGCCATGGGTCTTCCTTTGTGCTGTTCTTCATTGCATATGCATTTGTTGTCCTTTTTACTGCTGAACTTTTCCTACCCGTGTTCTACAAATCTGGAATCACAAGCACTTATGAGGTAAGCTTCATTTTCCTAAAAGTGATTTTGGACCCAAATCTTGGGCAGATATTGGATAGTTTGGCCATCTCAAGACATTTGGACCACCATATGTCAACCTGCTTCCCACACTGAATTTCTTGTCCAGATTGATGCAGACTTAGACATGTGCATTGGGTAATCTTAGGTGTACTTTGATTCAGAAGAAAATGTGTTATTGCTACAGTGTTGTGGAAGGAAATAGTTGAGCTTGATCCAGATTGGTTGGATCCAGAGAGATACTGTACTGATCTCATCTCTCTTTTCCTCCCAGAGAGTTAACAGTAACTTTTTGGGGCCAGGGGAAATGGAAGTTAGATTAGAAATAGAAGAAAGAGCAAGATGGGAAGGGTTAAATGTAGCCTCCCCAACTGCTGCTTCCAAGTGCCTCTGATCTCAAAGCTGTTAGTCCTTATTGAGAGGGAGTCAGATCCACCTCCATAAAAAGGCAGGGTGAGGATCCTGCATCCAGCATTTGGGGGACCCATGCATTACTTTATATCACTCCTGCAAGTTGAAGGCATGCTAGGGAAATGGTCTTAAAGGTTTCTTGACAGGCACTTGGGGTCTGAAAACTCTCATTCTTTCCCAATCACACAGCTAGATGGATAGTTGCAAAATTTTGTTTTCACATCTCCCTGTAGCATCATGTTATGAACAATTACCAATCAAAGCCAATCATTCAGTTTGTTGAAGAAATATAGTTTATCATTCTATTAAATAGTAATATGTTCATATAGTCCATGAAGGGTACATTTCAATAGAGCTGCCTGTAACTCTACAAACTCAGTGGATTGTAGGCAGTGGTCACCTCCATGCTCCTCTTGCTGTGAAAGCGACTGGATGGCTGATTTTGATGCTTCTGAGGAGAAAGGAACGAGATCAAGGCTCAACAAGCACATGTGATAACATGGCTCTTCCTGTATCTTGCCCAAGTTTTCTGAAAATTTGTGGGTAGGGGAAAGTATTTCATAGAAATGTTGGCTCAGCTAGAATGAAAGCTCAGTGTCACAACAGAGTAATTATTTCAAACACAAAGTACAAACTCACTGATGTAAATTATGTAGGCAGGTTGTTTTTGAACAACGAATTTTTCCTTGGAGTTACTGTTGCAGTTTAAAAACCCTCAGAACAGAAGTTATGGATTATCCATATGGATTAATCCATACGAAATAAGGCTCATAGAAAATATCTGAGTGGAAACTCTTCAGTCTTTTTGACATCTGGAACGACTTGCAGAAACCTTGTCTGAATAAATGCCTCTATAGATATCAGCTTTAAAAGAGAGAGAAAGAGGGAGAGGGGAAAAGAACTTTCCTTTGTATTTCGGTATTTGCCCTGCAAAAACATTATGATCAGGTTAAGTCAGGATGCAGGTGGCATCACCAGGGTAAGGGGAACAAAGGCCTGACAGATGGGGCAAGCACCAACCAGGTATGCAATCAGTTTATTTTCTGTTTCTCGCTCCCCATGTGAAGAAGAACCAGACACGAAGAACGCTTGGCCAGGGCTTGCAGGAGCTCCTAGATATCTCTGATCTGAAGTCCATGCACACAACTTATCTTGCCGCTGGAAGGAGGAGTGGTACAATGGGAATCACTCCATTATCTTTGATTACAGATTAGACATAAGAAGGATTTCTCTCTTCCTATTTCTGACTCAAGTTGCAGTTGTCTCCAGACCAAGGGGGTGGGCTTGGGTAAGAGAGTAGTTGGTTGTTCCATGGGGCTGCACAAACTTCTGCAGGCCAGATTACACTCATGGGCCAGAAATGGCCACCCAGGTTAGACATTTTTCTGGAGTCGGGGACTGACATTTGGTCTGGTCTGGTGTTGCTTTCTTACTTTGTCAAAAGTCCAACACAGCAGAGGCAGATTTAAAGCTAGGTGGCTCAGGTGCTTACTTCATCTTCAGGGTGAAGTGTGATATATCCACTCAACCTTTCACTGCTGACTGGCTTGAGGTGAAGGGCCCTGACAATTCCATTGCATTTAATGCTGTCCAGCTAGATGAGATAGCAGAAATCTTGTTGAAACTCAGTTAAGACGAGCAGCTGAAGAAAAGCACCTCTCAGTTAATCATGTGATCTGGTGTTTGACGCCAGGATGGAGTTTCCCACCTAAGCTAGATACTGAGAAGTCCTCAGAAATCATCTTAAGTGAACAAGAAGCTTGCACTAGGAGGTCAAGTTGGATTTTACATACAATTTGGTCCTTTTCTATCCACTATATCATCTTGGGTTTTCATTCGGGTCTGTGGTGCAAAGCACTAAAAGCATTTTCAGTTGTTCTTATAGGCAATTGTGTAAGTAGAACGAGTTCACAATCATTACTGTGTCTGTTTATGGAACCAAATATAATATAAAATTGAAGATGATCTAATGAAAATTACCTTTCATTTAAAATATTCCTCTTTCCTCCTAGTATTTGGAGCTAAGGTTTAACAGACTTGTTCGTGTGGCAGCAACACTGATTTACATAGTACAAACGGTAAGACATGTTCTTCGTTTATATGTGCAGAAATGTGACCTGATTTCCAAAAACTCTGGTGACAACCCACTGGCTCTTGACTAACGAAAGCACCTTTGTACCAAGGCCTTTCCTATACTCAGTGGCAGAGTATGTGGACTCTTGGCCTGATCCGGCAGGTGAAGCTGGACAGAATGAGCATATGTGCACTGTGGCAGAGGATGCACAGTTGTGAGTGAAGTGCTTCTCTTATAGAGAAGAGAGCCAATGTGACACAGAATGAAAACCACTGCGGCACAGGAGTGATAGAATTGAGACACAGATCTGGGATCTAATAACGATGCTCGAAGTATGACTTTGGACCAGACACTTATTCTCAGTATAACCCACTTCAAAAGGCTGTTGTAAGAATGAAAGGGAGCAAAGGAGGACCATGTACTCTGTCTTTCATTCCTTGAAAGATCAATAAAGGCAGGATAGAAAAGCAATAACAACATCATCATCATCAACAACAACAACATTACAGAATGTGGATTTCTGGCTTATTCTGAATTCTGGGCCATCATTTGGAAATGAATCTTTTTGCACATAACATGATTGAATTGTATATAAAACTGCTTAGGATTGTGACCCTTTTAGTTTTTATTTACTTCTGTAAAAGCACCTGCTATTGAATACAAAAAACCCTAAACCCTTTCTTGCCATGGAATTTTTCATTCCACAAGGAGATTTTCTCTTGAAATCAGGGTTTCAACAACTGGTGTGTCCCTCAGAGCAGCACATTTCTTTGGAAATCAACCCACACCACCACTACCATTGCTCTACATGGCATGTACTCCATATAGTTCCTCAGAGTGCTCTGATGGTTGAAGACGAACTTTAAACGTCATGTCTGGGCAAAAGGAGCACAAACCTGAAAGCCGGACTAATGGTGCTTTGTTCTGCAATGGTCTTCTGATATGAATTTACAGCAGGAGAAACCTAGCTTCATTTACACATCACACAATGTTCAGAGAACATCCTTGCTGTTTCTTAGAATCGTGTGGCAAGATTCAATGCCATTGCAATGCTCAACAGCAATCGAGCTACTTCCTGGAGCTAATCCAAGAGCAATCTCCACAGATCATACGGGTCACAAACTGCCAACATGGGAGGAGGATTTTGTTGTTGCCTGGGGTTGCTTGGGAGGCAGTGTAAAATTAATTGGCTTTTTCTGGTGGGTAATCCAGTACCCACCAAGAAAAGAGAACTGCCTATGCAGAGAACTGTTTATACACAAAAGGATACACCCTCCAGATGAATTCTGTGAATCTAAAATAGCATCAGCAATAGATGGGCATTTGGAGAAATTACTCTCCTTGAAAAATTGTAGGTGAATGTGTAGAAATTCTGCAAGGATATAATTTAAAATGTGCTGACTAGCTTTTTTAATGTTGCTTTTTCAGTATCCTTTCACACTGCTTCTTCTGATAGATACTATAAAATTATATGTGGTTTTGGATGCCTGTTATAATCAATGCATTTGAAAAGTGCAATTATTTTTAATGTTATTTATTAAAAAAATTGTATGCTGCCTATTGTGCCATAACATCTCTAGGTGGCTCACAAACAGGCAGTTAGAACCATTATATAACTAAGACAACAACCACCTGCACTAAAATTTAAAGTTCTAAAGTTAAAATTATACTGCTGCAACATTCTGTAGAAACATCCAAATGTTTCCCACAACTTTGGGTGTAATCCTGAATACATTTACTAGGGAATTAATCCCATTAACACAGCTGGGCTTAAATCCAGTGCACCGCATAGGGAAGAGAGCTAATTCAACAATTATGCCAACAAAAATACCTGTTAGAACACTGCCTAGTTTCAAATACTCTATAGTGTTTCTGAAATCCCTATGAATTCTTGCAACAAAAGTTAATTATCTCTATCATCATAATTTATTACTTACATTGTTATCTAGCCTTTCTGAAAGCACGATACATACTTCTTCCTGCCTTATATCATCATATCAACCCTATGAGGTAGGCTAGATTGGGAGACAGTGATGGGCCCAAGGACACCCAGTGAGTTTCATGGCTCAGCAGGACTGGATCCAGTCTCACACTCAAGCAACACATCACACTGCATTTCAGACAGCAGCAAAGCGTTCTTGTTAGAAGTAGAGTGGCCATTTTGTTAGGCAGAAGGAAAGGTCAGTTTGGTGGTAGAGACCTGCGATTTTTGTAAGTCCATGAAGGTTTTGAAGGCATGATGAGTGGGGTAAACAGGGGAAATGCAGTATAAAGGAAATGTATGTGTATATAGACATAAATATATATTTTATATGTATGTTGGCCTACCTTTGTGAAATCCAGCATGGTGTAGTGGTTTAGAGTGCAGGACTGGGACTCAAGGAGAACTGGGTTCTAGTCCCCAGTTGGCCATGAAGCTCAGTGGGTGAGTTTGGGCCAGTCATGGACTCTCAACCTAACCTACCGCACAGGGTTGTTGTTGTGAAGATAAAATTGAGATGAGAAGTTTGTAAGCTGACTTGGGCTCCTCGCAAAAGGAAGAAAGGCAGGATATAAATGCAACATGATGATGATGATGATGATGATGATGATGACAATTATAAAAAAATACTGGCAGAAAAGAATATGCAATTATGTATGTGGAACCCCAGAGTGCCATGCAGCTTTGGATGCTCAGGTGTTTTCTGTAGTTTGTATCCAGGTTCTTGTCCTTGTCTTAGTTACATAGGTCCAATTGATTTAAATGGATGTAGCCTAAGTGCAGTAAAAGCTTCATCTTGCCTAGGCTCGGCATCTCATCATCTCATCTCATCTCATCTCATCTCATCTCATCTCATCTCATCTCTTATATCTTACCTCACCTAGCTTATCCTTCATTCCTTAGTTCTCCAGTGTCAAATCATTTAGCTGATGTTCCATGTGGCTCTTTTAATAGACATGCATATTTTTCTGCTGCTCCACAGATCGTTTACACTGGAGTGGTGGTCTATGCTCCAGCTCTGGCTCTCAATCAAGGTATGCTTCCTCCAATTATCCTTTTCATGATCCAAGGAGAAATTTAAACACCTGATTCTTGGAAAAGAATTTTGTCTTGTTCTGTTACTTCCTATTTGGAAGCTCATCTTCTGCCCCCTTTTCTCTGTAGGATTGAGTTATGTACTTATTAGGGTTTCCTTTTGCTAAAAGGGGAATAGAGGAAGTGTGAGCAGAACAATTACTCAAGTACCCCGTTCTATGTAATGGTCTAAAGTGAAGCTATGGACTTTGACACTTTCGGTCTATCCAAACTTCCACTCTAATGACGTATGTTTTGTGAATAGGCACAAGGCTGAGATTCTTCAATCAGTTGGCCTCTTTTTCTCCCAACAGAGGGTGGACTTCCACAGTCTGCACTGCATCATTTTATTTCTACACTAGATGTCATCTATTCGCCTTCCAAAGTACTCCTTCGCAGATGGTGTACTTTCAGAGAAGCAAAAAATGGATGTCTGTTTTGCAGGACATGAGAGCAGATAGTGGACACATAAATACAAGCCACAGCTCCTTTTATCTTGCTTGAAATAACCCATTTTAGATATTGCAGTGTCCCCAGATCACCCAACCTAATTCAATTTCCTCTGGCTTTGCAGTGACCGGATTTAATCTTTGGGGCTCTGTATTTGCAACAGGAATAGTTTGCACCTTCTACTGTACACTGGTATGTACTTGACATGAATTTCAGTTAAGAAAATCTTTATAAATATAATATTCTACTAGGTATGCATTGGTAAATACTGGTGAAATGATTCCATGTCCTATGACATTTCCATATTTTTCTGCATAGTGCAGGAACGTTATCTTATCACATGATAAACTGTGGACAAGGGCAAAGTACTTTGGTTCAGACAAGCAAGTGCTATACGAATACAAAATTGCTGTGATAACCTCCAATCTTGCATAGAATAGCTTTTCTCGTCATCTTAGGCTGCAGTCCTAACCAAGCTTTCTTCAGAATCTACATCACAGCATGCAGTGAGACTTTCTCCCAAATGAACTTGCACAGGATTGCACTATTGTGAGGCCAGTGAGAGGATGCCTTTCCTGTCCTTGGGTGGTCATGCTTGGTGGACTCGTTGAGCAGCCTTTGGCCAACAATGTGTGCTGTCTCTATATATGGCCACAGCATATGTACATGGGACTAGAACCTGATCAGGGAAGAAGCTTTGCCAAGCAGCACAGACAGGCAAAAACAGGAAAAGCAGCCAGGCAGCAGGATGTGCATCCATTCCGCCGCCCCTGCCCCAGCCCTAGACAAAAGCAGAAGTGCAATAGTTACGAACTTCTCTAAAGAATGCACCAAAAAGTGGAATTCCATCTCCACCTGAAAGTTGCACTTTTGCAGTGTAAGCGGAACCTCACAGAAATCCAGCAGGTATTCACTGCATCTTTTTTTTTCTCTGTGAATTTCCGTATGTGTAATTTCCAGCTCATGGGCAGGAAAGCAGTCTCACTACCCTTCTCTGTTCCATCTCCAGTGACTTGGCCCTATCTCGATCCAGGCATTGGTCAGGGAAATTTGAGGCTGAATTCAAATTCTGCTCTACATACATATGGGGAGGCTGCTCTACATACATAAGCACCTTCTGTGAATTAAAGCCAATTACATGATATGCAATTATGTTAATTGTGCAGCACTAGAATTATCTTTGATAGATAGTTTCAGGAAACACTTTTTTAAACTTTAGAATGAGTGCATGTGACTCCACTTTGGATCTGGACCACAGTGCACAAGGAAGGTGGGGACACCTCCCTGGGCTTCCTGGAAAATAGGGAGGAAAGCCAGCAAAAGTTTCTTTCCTTGACCTCTTTGTTTAGTCACCATAGCGGTTATGTAACAGAGGATGTTGGAAAGCAAATGGTGCTGTGAAAGTTTAAATGGGAAGCCATCAGTGAAACTACTTTTTATTCTAGAATAAAGAAATTACAATAATAACCCTCAACTGCATGATGAAGGTAGCATGTAGTTTTGTGCTACACTTTCAGAGGATTGTAGATCATGCAGGCACCTGCTTTGGACCTTCAGCCCCCAGGTGTGCACAAGAGGCATGAAATCTGCACGGGACGTACGGCAAAGTCAGAACGCCCAGCCCTCCTCTGCCCCTCCGGTGATGCTAACCGTGCGATGGAACAAGTCTGAAATACGCAGCATCACAAGATCTCGCCAACGTTTCACCTTCCAACATGCTTCTTATTGCTTCTTCTGTCGTACACTTAATATGAAGGCAAACAGATATATTCTGTCTTTTCTGTTACCTAGGGAGGGTTAAAAGCTGTTGTCTGGACAGATGCCTTTCAGCTGGTCGTGATGGTGATTGGGTTCTTGACGGTTTTAATTCAAGGAACTCTTCAGAATGGGGGCCTTGGAAATGTTTGGGAAGATGCCAAGAATGGATCACGCCTTGATATATTTGAGTAAGTAGAATGGCTTCTTATGCTCAAATCAATGACTTTGTTTATTATGTATAGAACTAGAATGCCTTAAAAAAATGTAGGGAGAATAATGCATCACTGAAAGGTGGAGATAGGATAAAGTTGCCTTCTCCCCTTCAGAATAGGAACTGTACAAGTGGTCTTCAAAGTGGTCTTCAAAAGTACAAGTGGTCTTCAAAAAGTTTCTTCACTTTTACATTTTATAAATATATTTTATATATTTTTTGCTGATGGCATTAAAAAGTAGGTCCAATGCTGGGAAAAATGCATCGCAAAGGAAGGTGACTATGTAGACAAGTGATGTAATTTGTTTTTGAAATTCTTAATTAGCAGAGTTTTTAAGAGTGTGGAAAGACTTTTGCAGAATCCTCATATTTTAGATAGTTCTTCCTTTTACTTAGTTACCATAGTGTTTTTAGAACAATTGAACATTTTTATTTTGATATTAATGCTTTCCTGGATGATATGGCCTGTGACTGTCTGGATGAAAGAGACGCAAATAAAAGGGCTGAAATTGCTAGTCTGGAATTGACTATCTATCTATCTCCAACTAGTGATGTGAGTGTCCTATGTATGGACAGACTGGGCAATGGAATCTAATGAGGAATGAACAGTTCATAATATGGGGACACCTTGGGTCTTTGCAGCAAAATCTACATATTGGATCCAGATTTAGGTGTACTTTGAGTAGGCCTATCAAAGTCTATAAGGCTTAAGGTATTCATACTAAGTTTCACAACTTTGATTTAAATAGGTCTGCTTGAGGTTATGACTAAGAGAGCCACTCTAAGGTCCTTGGATGAGAATTTCAGGGGTGATAGAGTGGTTTGTAAAATTCTTCTCAGTTTGGGGACAGCACATCAGAAGGGGCAGTCAGAGATCCTTTATGGCAGTGCAGAGAGAAACGAGCTTGGTGCCCTTCCTGATGCCTGGTACTTCTTTGAAATTTGACCTCAGAGGGGGAAAGAAACAGATGCAGACTATGGAAAGCAGTGGAGAGCAGACTGGAGTTACCAAGATATGAGCTTCCCTGAGACCTCTCCAGCTTCCTTCCCTTCAGCTGCAAAGCAATCTTGCTAGGCAGCCTGAAAAGCCCTTCTAGTGAAAACAAAAGGCGACTGGATGATGGGAACACAGAGACGGTCTCCAGAGTTCCTACAGGCCTGCCAGTTTCAGCCGGCCAAGACTTTGGAATTGCAGCAGCCTCCATGGTTTGGTGTCTTTCAAGAAGTGAAGAAGCAATCCATGAGATTGTGTCCTAAAGTGAGTGGAACATCTGCTTCATTTGCAGTGGTCTCATTCTACTTGAAGGCACAGGACAGGCTTTGCCTCGTATTCTGTTCAGCCTAAAAGAAGCATGAGGGATGATGAAATGCTAGCCGAAGTGGTAATAGTCGCGAACTGCTGTGTTGCAAAATGACAGCTAACTCTGCACAACCAGTGCAGCTTTTGTGAGAGTAAGGAAGGTTACGGAGTGCACGCTGACTGGCTTCTGAGCCTGGGAGAAGAAGATATATTGCAGAGTGATAGAAGAGGAGCAATTTGTTCATACGGAAGAAAAATTGAGAGAGAAAGCAAAAATACAAAAGCAATAAAGATGAAAAGATCGTGCATCTCAGGGAAGAAAAGAGGAAAGAAAACAAGTCTGAAAACCAGCCGTAAGTCCAGACAGCAGCAATTGCCTCCAATTAGAAAAGAAATTGTAAGACCTTCACTGGGGAGAAATGGAAAAATGAAAGATGTATATAAAGTGTGAAGGTAGTTCTGGAAAGGGGAAGGCAAGAGGGAAGGGAAGGGAAGGGAAGGGAAGGGAAGGGAAGGGAAGGGAAGGGAAGCCACAGGGAACAAAGGCAATGAGAAGAGGTTCATGTCAAATTCTCTTCAGCTTAATATGCCAAGGATTAATAATAGCCCATAATAAATTATATAAAAGGACTGTGGGTGTGGAAGACTGAAGGTAGTCGAGGGATGAGCAACACATAAAAGAGAGAGAGAAACGAAAGTGCATGCAAGTGACAAAGATTGCTACTACTTCATGGGAACTGAAACCGTCTGTGGTTAACTGAGAGAGTTAAGATGGCTTATATCCAGGAAGCAGAACCATTAAGAAGGCAGAGAAGTGCCACTAAGGGAAGAACAGGATGCATCTATATCATACATTTACTAATTATTCTCTTAATATTTTCCAGTGAAGGGGATCTTGCTCTTCTGCTGAGTTTATGTTTCCTTGTAATTTGTTCAGACATGTTATTTGGCTACTGTTGTAAACAGGATTCTGGGCCCTGATTATAATCCAGCATGGTTCATCTTATGTTCTTTCCTGGTGCTGTGGATGGGATTTCTCTTCATACCTAGAGCAGATCCATTGAAGTCAATGAAATTTAAGTTAGTCATTATTAACTTAAGTGCCATCAGTTTTGATGTTTGATCTACTCTCAGTATGACTAAGAAAGAATGCACTCTAGGATGTGCAGCCTATTCTATTTATATTTTCCTGGAGATGTCCCACTGATTTCAATGAGACTTTTCCCTAGTTGCAACCTCATTGTAAAACTTAATCTAAATGTGCTCATTTGTAAATGTATTCTGCTCTAACAGATGCTTCTGTCAGTCCTTTTGGTTTTTTGGAAAATGTCTTTCATAGCAGAGACTGCTTACAGTACAGTCCTTCTAATTAAACATTTTCAGTGCTCTGGCTATGAAATCTGGTATTTAAATTGAATGAGAAACCACATGACAACTCAAGGAAGACTGACTTTGCATTGACCTACCTGCTGCATTCTTGCTTGTACTGAAGATTCCTGAACTCCACTGAGCCCAGTGAAACTTAGGAAGCAAAATTCTATGCATGATTACAGCAGCCTAAGCTAGTTTAAGGTTTAAATCCTCTCCATCGCTTCTCATTTCTTTAGCTTTGATGCTGATCCCCTGAAAAGGCACACATTTTGGACTATTGCAGTAGGAGGAACATTTACTTGGTTAGGCATCTATGGTGTTAATCAGTCCACAATACAACGGTGCATTTCCTGCAAAACTGAAAAGCATGCCAAGCTGTAAGTAGACATCCTTTGCTGTCATTGGTCTAACAATTTATTGCTATTTTCCGATTCCAATATATTAAGAGCAATAAACCTTCCTCTTTCCCTTCAGGTTTTCACCTCCTTTTTCATATTGTCCTGTACTTAGAGAGTGAAGGTTTCATGCATATAAATAAAATCATTTAACAAAAATTGGACAAATAATTGGTTACTTAGAAATATACATCATACTTTCAATCAATCAATAGGTTGCATCATGCTTGATTTTTTGCTGGCCTATGCCATCTTTGCAGTTGATCATATTATTATGCCCATAACTCATGGAAATTTCCCCATAATAATTATCCTTACTGTATTGTTTTATTGTGCAGTGCCGTAGGAACCACAATATTAAAGGAGGAAAAAAGCATTAGTTTTACTTTATTTTAGTAATTTATAAACATAGAAACATTTGGATGTAACATGGGTGACTAAGGTGAATATATCTTGAATCTAGTTGTTTATATTTCGTGGTTTATTTGCTTTCTGTTTTGTTGAATATTGGACTGAAGGAACAATCCTATGCATGTTTAGGCTGCCTGGAGCATGCTGTGAGTTATCAGCTTTCTTCTGTCTCAACTTGCCTAGGATTGCACCTTTAGTGTTACTGTGGCCTAACCAAATGATGCCGCATGCCCAGAATGTATTCTAAGCAGAGACATTGTTCTATTGTGTGAGGTTTCTAGGACCATGCTGATCCTAGACAGGACTGCAAGCCCAAGTAGCATTGCAATTCAGAAGCTCCATAAGATATGAACTAGATTAACCTATAGATTGTTACATGTACAGCATTCATCCTGTGAGATGCCTGGAGATTTAATGTCTAATGTTCTAATGTCCAGTTTTTGTTGTTGTTGTTACGAGTCATCAAGTTGTCTCTGACCTATGACTGAATGCCTTTCAAAATGTCCTGTCCGTGACAGCCACACTCAGCTCTTCTAAATTTAATGCTGTGGCTTCCTTTATAGAGTCAAGCCATCTCATATTTGGCCTTCCTTTTCTTCTGCCTTTGACTTTCCCCAGAATGGATGCCTTCTCTAGTGAGACTGGACCACTCATGAAGTGAGATAAAACATTTTCAAACCCAGGTGCAAAGTCATATTTGAAGGCAAACAAAATAAACAGTTTTTAAACATTAATTTTATAGGAACTGCCTTTGGCAGAATTGATAATTTCAGTGACTGAAATTCCACATGGATAGGTAAAGAATTAAAATGTTTCAAATGCCACATGCAAATATTGACATGAGGCAAACCCCTCTACATGTTGAAGGACTGTGTGCAGGGATTACAGGGCTGCCTCAGCTAGCTCCTTGCTCCACCGCACCAGTGCATCTATTATTATTATTATTATTATTATTATTATTATTATTATTATTATTATTATTAT